GCCCTGAGCATCATCAGGTATCTTCCTCCCACCAAACAAAACGAAAGAAACAAACAAAAAAACCCAAAGAAGTAAAATAGAGAGCTCTTCTGATTTCTCATAGCTATGTTAAGCAAGGTTTACAAGGGATGATTAATAATTTTGCAGCCCGATTTTTGGGGGGCGGAGCATGTCCAGCTTTGTTCAGGGCTTCCACCTGGTTTTGAGCTCAGAGATCACTCTTGGCTGGCTCTGGGGACCATGTGGCATGACGGGGATTGAACTGTCACTCTGATCTTGCAGTCCAGATTTTTAAAATAAGTGCAAAGGCTGGAGAGAGAGTACAGTGAGTATAGCACTTACCTTCACACAGCCCACCTGGGTTCAATCCCTGGTGCCACGTATGGTCCCTGAGCTTTGCCAGGAGTGAACCCAGAGAACAGAGTCAGGAATAAGCCCTGAGCATCACTGGATGAGTTCCCTCCCACCCTAAAATAGTAATAATGACCACTGAGACTTCAGTGGTAGACGGTAGAGTATGTGGTTAATGGTAGAGTTTGATCCCCAGCACTGGAAAAAAAAAGTGCGTTGAAGGATTGGGGAAGTAACTCATGTGAAACACTTGCACATAGAGGCCCTAAGTTGAGTCTCTAAGCACAGATGGGTACAGCCCTGGTGGCCATTAGAAATTAACTATCTGATCCCACAGAGCCAGGCCAGATATTTCTGGGCATGGCTGCCAGGCTCCCTGAGGACTTCTTGGGAGACTCCAAAACAAATCAACCAAATCTAAGCAAACAAAACAAAATGAAACCCTAGGTTGGAGAGAGAAAACAAGGGTTGAGGTGCCTTCCATGGGACAGACGCAGTTAGATCTGGCACCACATATCACTTCTGTTCCCCTTGACTTCTCAGTCCCTCCAGGAGTGATCCCTAGCACAGAGTCAGGAATAAGCCCTGAGCACCATCAGCATCACAGTGCATAACCTTCTCTCCACCAGAAACACAAAACAAACCAAAACAAAAACTTTAACATGGGTTTGGTCTTCCGGAAACCTGGGCTTAAGTCTTTGGCAGTTGCCTAAAGCTGGTCTTTTTTTTTCTTTTCTTTTTTTTCATTTATCGGACCACACCCAGTGGTGCACAAAACTTATGGCTCTGTACTCAGGGTTGACTCCTGGGGCTCACTGACGAACCGTATGGGGTTCAGGGGGATGGAGCCAGGGGCCTCCCTATCTGCTGTCCTATTGCAGTGGCCCCTGAAGCCATTCTTGTAGACACCTTCCCCTAAGCTGAACTTGATTCCTCTGAGGTGAAAAAGGACCCCTGTCAGAATGCAAAGCCCCCCACTTTCTGGTGCCAGGCCGTTCTTCCCTCCTGCACTCCTCTTACAACAATGTCAACTGCCTGCCTTACCAAAGCATGAGGAACGCGGTGGAACACTGCTTCTGCGACAGGCAAGGACTGAAACTCTGTGGGGGAGAAAGGGCCCTCGGAGGGGTGGCCCTTCCTCTGCCTGCTCTGGGGTGCCTGGCCCGGGCACCCCCTACCCCCATTTCCCAGGGAAGTGTGCACAGGGTGTCTGGCACCTGGCACCAGGAAGATGGTGCAGGCATCCTTAGAACAGCTGCTTGGGGGCCACTAACAAAGGCTCTCTGTCTCTCTAAGCAATGCCATTGTGATTAGAGCTTGGTGATGGACCAAAGCTGGGTGCTACATTCTGAATTGGGAGAAATGTACCTCAGTCATCACCTTTTTAGCTTCTCATGCTTCTGTTTGCTGCTCTTGAATGAAATACTGTTTGGCACATATGGTTCTTCTAAGTTCCCTTTGGAAAGCTTGCTAACAATCTTTGTTCTAAAGCTTTAGTTCTAAAGCTTTCTTTTCAGCTCAGTGAAGTCCTGAAAAATCCCCCCAAAGCCTGTAGAGTATCTCTTTTGGGAAGCAGAGTGGGGAACTTTCAAAAATCTCCAAGCCAGAATGACCTGTGAGTGGTCATCTGTCTAAATCTCCTCACTTTTCAAATGAGGAAACTGAGGCTCAAAGAGGGAAAGTAACTTGTCCAAGGTGATACAGCTCATTTGTAGTAAAGCAGGGACCAGAATTCAGGGTTCCTGAATTCCGGGGTGGTCTCACCAAGTGATTGAAAAAATTCTTTGTTAACTGCTGCTTCAAAATTTGTTTCATCTACCAGGGCTCAGAACTCCTGCCAGGCAGAGACCTGTATAAGCAACTGTGAGGATGAGGATGGTCTATGCAAATGGGTGATAAGACTCATCCTGTTCATTGTAGGGTATGCTTTGAGTTGGTTTTCCAACACTTGTAGTTTTAAGGGTCTGTACTACAGAAATGTGCTGTGGTGGCAGTATGGGCTTCATCTGCTACTAACAGTTCACAGAATTCAAAGGTAAGTAGCTGAGGAGTAAATCTGAAGAGGTGAGCCTTGCTCCAAGGTTTATGACCCCAGTTTGCCTCTAAGAAGGAAGTTCAGGGTAAAAAAGTCAAATCACTTTGAATTACCTTTTTTTTTTTTTTTTTTGGCTTTTTGGGTCACACCCAGAGATGCACAGGGATTACTCCTGGCTCTGCACTCAGGAATTACTCCTGGCGGTGCTCAGGGGACCACATGGGATGCTGGAAATTGAATCTGGGTCAGCCGTATGCAAAGCAAACGCCCTACCCGCTGTACTATCACTCCAGCCCCTGCATTGCTTTATTTTTTGGAATATTTTTTGGAATATTTTACTTGTTTTGGGTTATTCCCAACCAATTTTAAAATTTCTCCTTACACAAGCAAATAATTCTTGGCATGTTTTACAGTTTTTTTCCTAAGTAATTATTATTATTTTTTAATGAGTGGGTTTTAACTTGGGTGATTTGATTGCTATTCAGAGTTGGTGGTCAAAACTGAAGGTCTCTTCTTTTGTAACCACTTCCTGGGTTCCTGCTACTTACCATCCTGACATTGTCTGTACCCTTTCATCTCTGCTTCTTGGGGTTTCTTCTGCTTTGCCCACTTGGTACAACACATCGTTCAAAGGATAGATCCATTTCCCTCAAGAGGGAAGGTCTCTAACTTATCTCTGTGTCTGGCAACTGCACAGGGATAAGCAATGGATGGATGAGTGAAAGGCTTCAAATCTAGCCCAGGGAAGCACAGAGATTTTGTGTCCAAAGTGGAGTTACAAATATCCGATAAATCCGGAGGGATGGGTGTTTGTGATTGTAACTCAAACATGAAAGCTTGTAACTATATCTCACGGTGATTCAATAAAATAATAATAAAAACAGTATCTGCCAAATCCAAGGAGAGGTGAATTAAAGAAAGGTTCACTTTTCTCCTAAAGGAAGATGTTTGAAAATGTTCAGCGGTTCTGGCCCTGGCGCAGGGGCAAGCTGGAGTGTGCACACAAGTCTTGATTCATTTTTATTGATCAACTTTCCCCCCCTCCCCCAGGCAAGGCTGAGGTTTATAAGTACATCCATCTGTGAGACACTCCAGATGGGAACTTTCAGGAATCAGTAGGAGGGAACTGACATCTCTCTCGGCTGGTTCCAGATTGTATCGTGAGGCCAGTGAGTGCTGTCGTTTCTGAGAGTGCTGATCTGTGTGGCTCCTCTCTCTCTCTCTCTCTCTCTTTGTCTCTCTCTGTCTCCCTCTCTCTGTGTCTCTGTCTGTCTCTCTGTGTCTCTGTCTGTCTCTCTGTGTCTCTCTGTGTCTCTGTGTCTCTCTGTGTCTCTGTCTCGCTCTCTGTTTGTCTCTCTCTCCCTCCCCCCTCCCCTCGGGCCTGCCTCTGCCTCCCCACTCTCCAAAGTCTTGGGATCTACACTCATAAAACAGGTTCTGCAGTGAATTAGTGAACTATTATCTCCTCCTCCAACCTCATGTGCTGGAGATGGTGGGGGATGAGCTGTTTGCAGAAACTGGAATGAACCTGAGCATCACCCGGGACTGGTGTGCAATTATAGCCTGATTCAACAGGTCTGGGGCATGGGGCGGGGTGAAGGCTCTGCATTTCTCACAAGCCTCCTGCTGGGTCCCGGAATACATGAGAACATTGGGGGACTTGAAAGTGAGCTTTCCAATATGGCGGCCACAGTGGACACCTGGCACTGTTCTAGGGCTATTCCTGGCTTTGTGCTCAGGGTGGGATCCCTAGCGGTGCTCAGGGGACCATAGGTGATGTCAGCAGTTCAAACCAGAGTTGTAGCTACATGCAAAGCAAATGCATTAGTCCCTGTACTATCTCTCTGGGCCCTATTATCTTTCAAGTTTTGAATAGCTATCTTCAACTTAGCTGCTGAGGGAAAGAGCGTAAGGGGAATTTTGTTTTTGTTTTGGGGCCCCACACCTGGCAGCACTCAGGGCTTATTCTTGGCTCTGTGCTCAGGCAATAACTCCTGGCAGACTCAGGGGACCATATAGGGTCCTGAGAATGGAACCCAGCTTGGCTGCAGGCAAATAAGATGCATTATCCTCTATACTATTTCTCTGGCCCCAGGAGGGGAATTTGGAGGAACTGTTCTATTAAAGGGTCTAATAGAACAGGCTCCGGGTCTCAGTTCAGAGGTCCTGATTACGCTGTGTGTAAGGCTCAGAGAGATGGAGAGGAGGCCCCGCTCACACCTGCCCAGTCCGTCTTGGAGTAAGGCCAACCCTGGAAAGCCAGTCTTCTTAGGGATGGGGTGGTGCCTCCCTCCCCAGCTGCCTGGGAAGGTCATGTGACTCCCCTTCAGTCACTGAAGCTCCAGGGAGTTTGTACCTGGCCTGTGGGGTAACATTGTGCTCTGCAGAATTCAGTGAACCTGAGAGAAGGCCCTTGAAGAGAGTGCCTCTGTCCCTTACTTAGTCCTGGGTGTCCAAGAGATGTGGTGACGGTTCCTGAGTCGGCTGTCACAGTGTTTCAAGTTTCACAATGAGATGCATGGCGATAGGAATGAGACACAGGAGTCGGTACCCTTGGGCCCCAAGTCAAGCAGCAATGAAGCAAGAGGAGCAGAGGACAAGGTTATAAAAATGTTTAGTCTTTGCTTTATTGAGTTACAACAAATGAGCAACAGGTTAGAAAAAAACCGCTTTTGTTCCAACTCCCTAGTATTTTATTTGTGCAGTGTACTCAAACAATGGGCGGTGAGTGGGGGAGGAGGATGGTTTGCAAACACAGTTCATATTGCAACATTTACACCAGATAGGCCTCTTGGTTTAAGAGTTAGGACTAACTGGGTGTATGTATGGGGTGCGGGGAGGAGAAGGGGGTAAAGGAAGTGCACCCAGGAATCTAAAATTAGCCCAAAACAAACACACAAAACAAAGGATCAAGTCATGGTGAGGCCTTACGCTGCTATCTTGTCTAGTACCACTCTGGGAAAAGGCAGCTAGGCACAGAGATGAGAACCAGCCACCGTGGGCCTTTGTGCCATTGAGAGGGGGAAAAGCTCCTTTTGTTCTAATGATGCATGCATCATGGTAACGTGAACCAGCACAGAATCCTCTCTAAGGGACAGTCGCCTGCCACCCAGTGCACCTGGTGCAGGTAGGCCAGGAAGTTGTTATTCTGGACCCAGCCCCGGGTAGTTCTGAAAGCCAGTGCTTAGTTAAACAAGGAGCCTGCAAGGGGTAGAGGGAAGAACTGGACACAGGTCACTTTGAAAGATGTGCCCACAGCAAACCCTCTTCCAGTTGCTACCGATGCCCCAAACTTAGCCCTTCCCGTTCCCCTGAAATCTCCCGAACTTCTGACTACCTTTAAAAAATGAATTCTTCCCTACCTAAAATCCAGTAGATATAATGACACTAATGCTAACCTTCCCCCCCTCCCCCAGTAATACCAATGAGAAAAGAATACAAGAGAAAAAGCACAGGTGATTAGCCCTCCCCTTCCTGGGGAAAAAAAAAACCCAACAACCCCCAAACCCACCTTCCAATGATAGTGCTGGAAAAGGAAGTTGCCCTTGATAAAAAAGGTAACAAAATTACCACATTGTACAAATCGTTCCAGTATAGCAAGAGGTGGAGGCTGGGGCAGAGGAGCAACTATTTACAAGGACCCATTGAAAATGCAGTAGTAGGACTTTGGCACGAGGAATTCCCACCCAGACCTCTGGGTTCCTGAACCCTGCAGGCACACACGAGCTACTGAATAGTTCCACTTGGAGTCTCTGGCCAGGGTGGCTGGGGGAGGGAAGTTCTCTTCTTTCATCCAAGACGAAGTGTCTCCTGTCTCAGCACAGCAGTTCGGACAAAGTCTCTAGAAGGGCAACACAACCAGAGAGACGGGAGGTCATTTCTGACGGATATGAATACACAGAAGCCGCGAGCCATAAGTATGTGGAAGGGAAAAAGGGTATCACCCATCCAACCCAACAGATTGCAAGTCCAAAGTTACTTTATGTTTTTGCTTTTGCAACGATTTCCAAAGTCTCTGGCTGGCTCTAGGTGCACCTTTAGAACCGCTGGACCTCAGTGGTTGCCTCTGACCTTTCCCAAGGGGTGGGGCTCAGGCTAAGGTAGTTGGCAACACTCTCAGAGGGTGCTTGAAACAGGACAGTTGGAACAGAAGATAGGGTGGTTCCTCCACCTGGGCCAAAGCTTGCTCCAGTCACCTCGGGTGTCCAGTCTGCCCCCTGCCACTTCCGGTGGAAGTTGCCATCAGTCAGGCCAATGTTCTGATGTTAGGGCTGCTGCAAGTGGGTCTGTTACCATGCAACTTCCAACAGTCTAGTCAACTGCAGATACTGGAAGGTGGGTGGGGCTCTGGGGACAGTGCCTGCCGTAGTCACTACTGACCCCTGCTGCCTCTTCCCACTCAGCGTCTAGGCACACAGGATTCTCAAACACAGTGAGTGAAGCATCGGGGAAAGGACCATGCTGTCAGAGAGTTGTAGCTGGTCAAGAAAGAATAAAGTCATGCAGTTTGCGGACACTTGGATGGAAGGTGGAGGGTATTGAGCCGAATGAAGTAAGCGAGAGGCAGAAGGACAGATTCTAAAGGATCTCACTCATCTGTGATAGGTCCAGAAACAAATCAAGGGTACAGACAATCTCACCAGATGATAAACCCTGGACACTGGGTACAGACCCCAGAGTGCCAGGCTGGGGGTACTGTGAGGTTGACAGGGAACATAGGACGACGGTCTGGAGCATATGGATGGTGGCTCAGGGAGGTCAAAGTGGGCACTAAAGCCATAAGTGCTAATCAACATATAATGGGGGCTATGGAGGGGGCAGAAAAGGCCTCTCAGAGGTGACACAGGGACAGGGTGGAGAGTCTGGGGTACTTTGGTGGCGGTGGTGTGCAATGACCTTGTACATCATTTCTGTAAACTTGACCCCAGAGAAATGAATCAGAGGGCAGGGGCACGTGTATGGCATGCAGAGACTTCAGCACCACACATCCTCAGCAAGACACATTTCTTCAAGCCTGGTGGTGGTGGTGCCAAAAGGCCAACAGATATGGCCCTGGTGGGCCCCAGCTCTCCTATGCTCAATATCACAGCACGGACCTGAACAATCAACCATTTGCCTCTCACAGCTGGGTACTGCTGAGAGTGACCCAAGCTTCTGATCCGTACCTGGGAAGCCCCATTCCACCCCACCCCCAAAGTGCATAAAATAAATTTCAACACTATTATAGCCCTATTACCTAAAATATAGTAATAATAATAATAATAATAACACTGTAGAACTGTCCTCCCGTTGTTCATCAATTTGCTCGTGCAGGCCCAGTAATGTCTCCATTGTGAGACTTGTTATTGTTTTTGGCATATTGAATATGCCACAGCAGCTTGCCAGGGTATGCCGTGCAGGCAGGATACTCTTGGTAGCTTATTGGGCTCTCTGAGAGGGGTGGAGGAATCGAACCTGGGTTGGCCACCCATGTGCAAGGTGAATACCCTAACCACTGTGCTATCACTCCAGCCCAATAATAATAATAATAATAATAATAATAATATAATAAATAATAATGGTGGCTGGTTGTAGAATAACATTGGTTTGTCCTTTCTGCCTTGCCACAAGGAGTTTAGGTTTATTGGGTTACTTCCATCACAGTGCTCCCATTCCTCTGTATTTATCTGTAACCTCTTTCTTTGTGCCCTGCTTCCCCAACCCATCAATGGTCAATCACCTTTATCTCCTAATCAGACTCTGTTAACTTGCAAATGTTGCTTCTCTCTTCTCCTTAAAATCCTTTGCATAGTTAATTCTGAGCAATGTCCTTTTTGTGTAGACACAAGACAACAGTCAATGCTATGCTTTTGTAACTTGGGAGTTAATTGACTCTGAATGACGTTCACTCCTGGGCTTCTGTTCCCTTGACTTAAGCCTCAGTTGCCCTTACTTCCTAGCACCCCAAAAGCAGGGTTCCAACAAGAGAATGGATGTGAGTTACCCTGGCATCGAAATGGGCCAGGCCAAGCGTCATAATACTTAACTGTAAATTAAGAACATGGTCACGGACAAATTTTGTCATGATTTAAAAAGTAACAACTGGATTAGAACCCTGCTAGGGTTAGGAAAGATTAATCTGGCCTACGCACTCTAGTGTGATATCTATAGTGAGATGTCCACAGGAGAGCCGCCCTACAAGCTTAATGTATCTCTTACTGTGTCCATACAAAATGACCATTAAGATAATAGCACAGTGGTAGGGCATTTGCCTTACAAGCGGCCAACATGGCCGACCTGAGTTTGATTCCTCCGCCCCTCTCGGAGAGCCCGGCAAGCTACCGAGAGTATCTCGCCCGCACAGCAGAGCCTGGCAAGCTACCCGTGACGTATTCGATATGCCAAACACAGTAACAACAAGTCTCATGATGGAGACGTTACTGGGCCCGCTCGAGCAAATCGATGAACAACGGGAGGACCATGATACCGCGATACTGAAGATGAAAGTTTAAATGGTTATTGGACTTAGGAAAGGAGAAAAACCTCTAGGTGGTATTTCACCCTTGAGCAGATCTCCTGGCTGCAGGTGATCAGGAAGGGCTTTCATATGTTGATTGTGCTACCAGACCTAGTTGTTGCTGCTACCTCCAAGGTCAGGAGATGGGAGAGACTAGAGAGACCAGGATGGCAGTTAGAGTGTGGGGAGACTAGCAAGGGGGACAGGAGGAGACGGGAATGAGGGGCAGGGTAAGACTGGATTGGGGAGCTTAGTGAGACTGGAACAGGCGCATAGGGAGAATGGAATAAATGGCAACTGATCACCAGCCAGCCTGACCCTTGTTTCCTCCTTTGTCTGCCCTTGGCATTGGCCATCCCAAGTGGGGAAGTGGCCCGAGACCACCAAATGCAGGTGGTGAGAGAGAGCTGCAGGCTTCTTAGTCGTTTTACGAATACACAGCTCGTGACACAGGCTGGTGACAAGATTCACAATAGGGGGTTTAGAGTACAGAGTGAGTCTAGCCTCTTGCTAATATCCTGGGTTCCTCCTGGACTTTTGTCACATGACCAGAGACATCCCTCCCTTACCCCTGTCCAGCAGAGACCAACCACCTGATGTACTTACGACTGGGTCCCTGAGCCCCAACTCTCAGCTTTGGGAGGAAACCTCAGGACCATCAGGTCCATCAGGTCACTTTGCCACCGATGCTCCAGCTTCTCCCTGAGCCTGGGGCTAACCTACAGTCTCCCTAGTTTTCTATCTCGGGGTCAGTGGGCTAAAGCTGAAAGAGGACGATCAAATTCCTGAGCACAAATTGCTGCCCTGTTAATTTACCCACTGGGGAAACATAAAAGAATTAGAATTCTTTCCCCTGTGAGAACTTGGTTTCTGCTTCTCTTTCATTTTCCCTATAGGAATTTCCCTCAGGCTCTCGGGACTCAGGAGAGAATAACACTGCACTCACTAGGGAAAAGAAACAAAACTGAGCAAGAGATGATCATGATTTATCATCTTCATCAAGATTTGAGTCTAATTTTCTTCTACTGGCTGGGGAGTACAGAGAAACAGGCGATTCTTTTGCACCCTTAGGATGAAGATCACATAGAGGCAAGGACACAGGAGGACGAGTCTTTCAATGGAAAGGGCATTTCCTAGGGCAAAGAGAGGCAGCCAAAGAGGACATGCCCAAGCTGGCACCCCAGGGGAGTTGACTGAACTCTTTAGGATTATTTCTGATTTGTGCAAAGCAGGGGGAGGTTCATTCATGGGTTTTCTGAGGAGTGGGCCCTTGGTCCCTAAGGAACAGGCTTTCACCCCTTTGAGCTCCCTCCCAATACCTATGCTGGTTTGCCAGCTTTGATTTTGCTGCCATCGTCAGGTATTCAGACCACGACCTGAGATGGGTTACAGGGCAAGAGCTAAGAGCTGAGGAGTCAGTGTCAGGCAGTGTCCTGCCAGCTAGTCGGTTGTGTCTCAGGGGCAGGGTCTGGTTTTACAATTGAGACAAATACAGTACACAGGTAAGAAGGTGCATTTCCAAGCAGACAGTGGAAAGTCCATACTTTTTTTTTACATTCAGGTTGTTCTCAACAGAGATCTCAGGCAGCTCTGGTCCATGTGATCAAAGCTTGCTTCCTGTAGTGATATGGGACTCCTCCAGGGCTAAATTTCCTCCTTAACTTTAGGGGAGACTGAATGAGTAGGAATCAGAGGGGCCATGGCTCTTCCTACTCCTTCTCCATTAGAGGACAATAGAATTCAACAGAATTTGAGCTAATGTAGTTGGATTGTATACTTTAGGCATTTTATACACTCCCCATGTGCTTGTGTGTGTGGGTCTGGGTTTATCCCAGCTCCATTACATTCTAACTCAATGCTGGGTTACCTTTCTGTGTCCCCTTCTATTAAAATGAATGTCAGCTTCAGAGAGTTGTTAATACATGTACCCCATAACACAAGTCAAAACTTAAGCAGTGCCTGGCATAGCAAATATTATATCTTGTCATTGCTCCAGCCCCACCTCTAGTTCCCCCCTGTCCCCAACCTTCTCCAAGATGTAATGGGCACTCTACCAACCTGGCCAAATTGGAAAGGCAGAGAGCACATGACCAATTTCTTCTCCAAGTGGAGGAGAGTGTGTAACTTCAGAGCCAGTATCCATGGAACATGTGCTGGTTCTAATGCCAAGTGCCTGTTTAGTTTTCACTCTTCTCATTTAAGGCTAACAACAACAGACAACTCTGAGTAAGGGCGCAGACTAAGTTTTCATCAATTTATATGCTGGGGACTTGATTTCTGACTCTATTTGGAGATGTCATAGTTCCTAAATTGTTACAAGCTACTCAAAGCACCATGAGAGACCTCAACATTAGGTACTTGGAAAAGGTAACAGATAGCGAAGATATAAAGCCAGGTGTAGCCCCAAAGATGTGTAACTCAGTAAATATCCAATGATTAATTCTTGGTAAATAGGAGCGATAGCACAGCTGGTAGGGCGTTTGCCTTGCATGTGACCAAACTGGCCAAACTGGGTTTGATTCCTCTGATCCTCTTGGAGAGCCCGGCAAGCTACTGAGAGTATCTTGCCCACACGGCAAAGCTTGGCAAGTTATTCGAAATGCCAAACACAGTAACAACAAGTCTCACAATGGAGACGTCACTGGGCCCGCTTGAGCAAATCGATGAACAATGGGAGGACAGTGACAGTGACAGTGATCTAATAATCAGGATTTTCCCTTGAGTTTTTCCTTCAACTGGAAAGCAAACTGTATCCAACTCCCCTGATATTACCAAAGAGAGTGAATGAGTGATAAGAAAAAAATTTAAAAAAAGAGATGAAATAACAGATCCCAAGTCATAGAAGGTTCTAAGTTAATTCTCATGTTGATATAATAAATACTATTGTGAATCTGCTCTGAATCAGGCCCTGGGGCTTCAGACAGGAAAGGGAAATGTTTCCTGCTTTCAATGGTCTGGTGTAAGAAAGAAACAGGTACAGAAAGTTATATTTTTTCCACCCACCGATTCATCCATCCACCCATCCACCCACCCTCACACCCATCCATCCATCCATCCATCCATCCATCCTACATAAATCTACCCTTCCACCCATCCACCTACCATCACATCCATCCATCCATCCATCCATCCATCCATCCATCCATCCATCCATCCACCCAACCCCCATTTGTATTTGAAGAGTTAATCTAAATGGTGCTGGGATATACCTATTCTGGATCCTGAAGTATAACCAGAATGTAATAATTGACATCCTTGATAATTTTTAAAAAGCTAAACTTGGAGAAATTTTCTTCTAACATTGTGTATATTTTTTTTTACCTCTTCTGCAAGGCTACCTCTAAGAATTAAGTACTGATAATGACCATACATCAGAAGGCAGCTAAAGCAGTGGCTTTTTTTTTTGGAGTCAAATTTAGATACTGGCTGAGAGACTTATGCCACTGCCATTTAATTCCGTCAGATTTTGGACCTTCATTTTCTCTTTAAAATAATCAGGGAGAAATTTTCCACAAGAGGGTTTGAAGCAGCTTTTGTGAGAGTCCAGATGGCCTCCCCCAGCCCCCGCCACCCCATATACATGTCTCACCTCTGCTGGTCTAGATCTTGGGCTGGGGGTGATCATTTTGGCATTATACACAGAGGGCCAGAGAGCACAGAGTTTGTTAAAGCACTTGCATGTGGTTAAGCCCAGCCTGATTCCTGGGCACTACCTGCTGTGGCTCATCCCTTCACCCCACAGAATAAAAACAGTTTGGGGCTGTAGATATAAGGTACGTGCTAAGCACAGAGCTGTTGCTGCAACCCTAGTTCGAATCCTAGAACCGTATATGATCCCTAGAACACACTAGGAATGGTCCAAGCACAGAGCCAGGTGATACTCCTGAGGACCACTGGATGTGGCCCCCAAACTGAATCCACTAAAGAATACCAACTGGGATGGAGAGATGATAGTACAGTGGGTAGGGCACTTGCCTTGCATGTGGTTGACCCCGGTTCCATCCCTGGTATCCACCAGGAGTGATCCCTTGACTGCACAGCCAGGAATAAGTCCTGAGCACTGCTGGGAGTGACTCAATAACAACAAAATAAAACAACAACAGAAAGACACTCCAAAGTTCTTGCTGTGTGAACAGTGGTCCGTGAGTTTCCATTCCTGCATGGAACTAGGAAATGACCACATGCTGTAGGTTCAGCCTGGGTGGAGGTGGTGTGGCAGTGATGGCAGCATTGTGGGAAGCTGGTACCCACCAGGGTTAGGCACTGGCTTGAGAGATGAGAGGTGGCCTCCAGCCTGCAACCATGATCCCCGAGAACTTGGGTGGGGGGACGTGATTCATGTCCCATGCTGTATGGATCAAACGGACTTCAAGCTCAGCTTTATGGCTGCCTTGGGTGTTGGTGGAATGCTAGCAGCCCCATGCAGGGGCTCCTGGGCAGACTTTACCAATCTTGAGACACTAGACTCTTTCTGGGGACAGAGTTGAATGGAGCCAAAGGATAGTAGCATTCTTGAGAGTACTGCCTCCCCTTTGAGTCTCAGTTTTCCCACTGACATCATTTCATGAACCATGCAGGAGACTGGAAGACAATGAGTGAATGAATGAATGAATGAATGACAAGGCCAACCAAAGGTGGCTGAGTTTACAAACCAAGAGCTGTGGGCAATGTCCGGGATTCCTCTGGGAGCTCTGCATTCTCCAGGATCTTACTGGTGTTACTTCCTTAGAGGCCACCGGGGTCCTCCATTGGTTTTAAACTGAGTTCTTGTGAAACTCACAGCAGAGGGTTCCCAGCTGCTCTCAGAATATTTCCACCCCGGCCAGGGCATCCCTGCCAGAATACTTCCTTACCCTCCTATATCCCTCTTTCCACCTACTGTCCCCGTTTTCCCAAACTCATCAAAGAACAGGTTGCTAGGCTTAAGGCTTCCATTTCCGGGGACCTCATAGAAAGCAGACACATCAAGGGCTTGGGTGGCACGACCCATTCTGTGGATGACACAGCCATTAGTAACCATGGCAACCTTCCCTTCCCAGGTTTTTGTGGCTCACCAGGCTCTTTCACATTTGAAGGGGTCTGGGGACACAATTAGTGCAGTTTCCAGCAGGGTCACTTAAGCACACTCAGGGTATACCTCCTTCGGTCACAAAAAATACCAAACACTTATCGGGCTAGAAGAGAACCACCCGATATCTCTGTAAATCTGGATATTTACTCTTAAATCCAAAAAAAGAAAAGGAGAGGGGAAAAAAAGAGGAAGAAAAAAAGAAAAGACATATCCTTGTCCTGTTTCTTATAGCAGCTACTGCAAACAGGTGGGAGGATGTTTCTACAACTGCAAACAGATTTGAGAGTGGGGAGGACCCCCAGGGTGGGGTCCACACAGGCCTTTGGCAATAGTACTGCCTGCCACCCACCGGCACAGCCCTGCAATGGCAAGCACGCCTCCTCCATGCTGGGCTCTGTGGAGCCTTTTACAGTTGAAATGTTGGCAGCCCCCTGCGTGGAGCAAGTCTGGGCGCTCCATCTTCCCAAGCGCACATGCTGACTTCCTGTCTCTGTCACATTTCATTAGCCTGTGTCTTGTTTTAAGGCAATAACCACTGCATTCTTAATTGACCACAGCATGGTATAAACACTGCTCTGACATGCACTAGGAAATTAATATATATATGTATATATATATATTTATGTGACTGGCTTTATTGCCGTATGTACTATTTGGTGGAGCCAAATTGGCAACATCTCCAAGGTGTGCCTGTCAGGACTTAAAAACTACCTCATCTCTTTTCCTGCCTTAAAGAAAACAAAAACAAGGGCCTGAGAGAAAATACAGGGGTGTTTGCCTCATGAGGCTGACTTGGTTGGATCCCCAGCACTGCCTATGTTCTTCCAAGCACTGCCAGGAGTGACCTTCAGGGCACAACCAGGAATAGGCTCTGAGCAATGCTGGGTGTGCCCCCTGAAACCTACCCTCCCCCCCCAAAAAACCCCCAAAAGTAAAAAAGCCATACCAAACTCAAAGAAAATAAAAACAAGCTTTAAGAGATGGAGGAATAGCTCAGCGACTTACAAACTTGGCCTCACTAGCGTCAGGCCATGAGTTTAATTCCTGATGCCACCTCATGGGCAGAATGCAATCTTGGCAGTTCTGCTGTCCGTGCAGATTTGCAGCCAGATGTGTGGGAGCCCCTCTACAAAAAGAAACAGAGCCCAGAGAGCCCTATCGCTGCCGAGTGCTGCGTGTCTCCAGGGGCCCTGGGGCGCACCACAACCAGAGCACGTGTGAACACCGCCCTGCTGAGTGAGGCCCTTGGCGAGCTCAGGTGCCAGGGACACATGTCTCGGTGACCAACATGCTGAGTGTGTGGGACCCACCAATCATTGCACTCACCACCATGAAGGGGAAAGTGAGGAAATTTAAAAAAAAATCACGGTTGGAATTTTTCTTTTTTTATTTTTTAGGAAGATTTTTAAAATTTAGGTTTTGGGTCACACCAACAGTGCTCAGGGGTAACTGATGGTGGTTGGGGACCATGTGGGATGCCAGGGATCAAACCCAGGTTGGCTGTGTGCAAGGCAAGAGCCTTACCCACTGTACTCTCTTTGTCCCCTGGAATTTTTCTTTTCTTTTCTTTCTTTTTTTGCTTTTTGGGTCACACCCAACAATGCACAGGGGTTACTCTTGGCTCATGCACTCAGGAATTACTCCTGGCAGTGCTTGGGGGACCATATGAGATGCTGGGAATTGAACCTGGGTTGGCTGTGTGCAAGGCAAATCCCCTACCCCCTGTGCTATCACTCCAGCCTCTGAAATTTTTTTTAAGAGAAGAAAAGCCATGATATGAATGTACTGGGAATAAATGCTTTTCAAAGGGCCAATCAACTGCGTCAATAGCTCTGTTTACTGCAGCTAGAAAGAAAGCCCAGCACTGTCCCCAGGCAGGAGGAGTCTCAGGAGAAATTACCTGTCTAGGCGTGGCCAGCCTCTGCAGGGGCTGCATCGGAGTCGGAGTCGGCCAGTTCTGCCGTGCCCTCGGCTGCAGACCTGTCTGAGCTGGCGTCCTCCTCTCCCACGGTCACCTCCACCCAGTCCACAACGCCAGATTCGTTCTCATTGCCCTGGCCGTCCCGGCTGTTACCCTCCGGCCGGTCCGAGGTGGCCTCTGAGGGCTTGGGAGGCAAACGGTCCTGGACTTGTTCACTGCCGACTTTCCCCCTGGGCACCAACTTCTCCAAGTCCTCTTTGCAGAGCTTTTTGGGGTCCTTGAAATAGGGGGGACCCGCTTCGCTCCCATTCTTGGGGCTCTCGGTGACCACACCCTTTGCTGCTTTCCTCGAGAGGGCGTCGTAGCCGTGGTCGTCTGCCACAAGCTGCTGTGGCTGCTGGTACTGCTCCATCCACTTCAACGTGCCCGTTTTGTGCAAACATCGGTTTTCCTTGAACCAGCGCACGATCTCAGTTCGGACCAGGCCGGTCTTGGCTGCGAGCTGGTCGTACTCCTGAGGAGTAGGCCACTGGGTTCTTGCAAACGTGCTTCTCAGGAGATGAACCTGTTCTTGATTTTTTGTCGTTGCTGGGGAAGGGCTTGGCAGAGAGCTGGCTAGCTGGGCGCCAGAGAGCTGGTCAAGGCGAGCCAGAGCACCGTTGGGGGCCACCGCCTCTGGGCCTTTCTTGCCAGACCCCATGGCATCCAAGATTGCTTGCTCCATGCTGTCCCGGAGCTTTCTCCTCTCCGAGAACCAGGAGTCGATCTCCCTCCGGCTCAGCTTTGTCTCCACCCTGAGCCGATCCAATTCCGCTTGGGTAGGGAAAGAACTTTTCACAAAGCTGTCCTCGAGGACTCTCACCTGACCCTGGCTTTTCTCTTTGAACTTGGCGGGGGTGAAGTCTGGGTAGGCAGGGTACGTGCGGCCGTGCTGGGAGGTGGTGACGGCCATCTGCTCTTTGGCAATGGAGTCGCTGGTGATGTGGACGATGCCCCTTTGACACCGGTACCGGTGGTCACTGAACCACTTCTTGATCTCGCTCCTGGCAAGGCCAGTCATCTCCATGAGCCGGCAGACTTCGGCATCGTCGGGGAACTGGTTCTGAAGGAAGCTGGTCTTGAGGTGTGAGATCTGCTCCTTTGTCTTCTTGCGGTCACTGGCGGAGGGCAGCGGGGGGTTGAGGATCTTAGGGGAAGGCTCTGGCACCTGGGCCACATGTGGACGCTTGGGCTCTGGGGCAGCTTGTGGGGTCACTAATGGTCTCTTCTGGCTGTGGTTGGTGACTCCAGCCACGGCAAGGGCAATGGGGGAGCAAGAGACGGTGGTGGAGCCGCTGGTGACTTGGGTCAGCACCAGGCTGGTCTGGCCGAGGATCTGACACGGCAGCGCTGTCTGCAGAATGGGCTGCGGCATCTTCGTGGGGGCAAGCTGGGCAGGCAGCACGGTGATCGTCGGGGGCACGGACTGGATGGTGCCATTGAACATCTTCTTCCGAGCCTCCTCCACCTCCTCCGGGGACCAGCTGATGCCGTGTTTTAGGCGCTGGGTGGCGAACCAGATCCGGATGTGCTCCTCGGGGTGTTTGGAAGCAGCCGTCAGCCAGGACAGCTCCGCCTGGGTGGGGTAAGGGAACTTGTTGAAGGAGTTGATCATGGTGGCGTTGGTGTCCAGGGCGGAGTTGTATTTGGTAGTATTCAGAGGGACGGGGACCTTGGGGACAAGGTTGATATTTGGTGGGAGCTGGACAGAAGGCATGACGTGCCCCAGGGAGTCCTGGAGCAGCTCCACGCTGCTTCCCAGCCTGGAAAGGATCTCTGCAGCGTCCGTCACCAGGCGGGCTGTCCCGTCCATGTGACTTTCGGGGGTGACCTCCTCAGGCTTCTTGGGCACCTTCTTGGCATCCGCTTTGGGTTTCCCCGACTTCATGATGGGGGTCTTGCTGACCGGGATGCCAGGGTCGTGCTCGCCAACCCCAGGGCCGCCGGTGGCGGTGGACATGATGTGGTGGGTGGCCTCAATGGACTGCTCCAAGACCGTCTGATTGTTGCGTTTGATCAGCTTCAGCTTAAAGTTGGCCTCGCCGGGGTGGAACTTGGCATTGTGGTCGGACAAGGAGTCGTACTTTTTGGTTGTGAAGTTACATTCGGCGCACACGTAGAGGGGGTTGAGGATCACATTGGGGTGCTGCATGTCCACGTGCTCCGTGAACTCGTTCAGGTTTTGCGTGGAATAGGGGCAGTATTTGCACTCGTAGCCGCCCTGGAGTTTTTTGGACTGACTTTCCCCGCTGGATTTCACCTCGATCACTTCGTTTTCTTTGGAAGCGTTTTCTGGTTCCGCAGCCCAGCTGTCCTTGGGCGCGCTGGGCTGTGGCAAGTCCGCTCCTTTCTCTTTGGCCCTGTCTCCTTCCTCGGGGACCTCTTGCTCCATGACTTGCGAAGTCCGGACCATGCACGGGGTTGTGGATTTCCTTTTGCTTGCCATGTTGTCTGTCTGTGTGCAATGGCTGGTTGAAAAGGGAGTGGTCCGGTGAAAAATCTGCAACGAACAAAAGGCTTTTTGGCTTCCCCCCCCCACCCTCCAATGGCTTTGGCTTCCCTTGTATGCTGAAGTTTTGTGTTTGAGTCTTCAGGATGATTTCAGCATAGAAGACTGTGACCACTCCATGGGCAAAACACAGGAGGCAGCATCATATCTATAGGACAAGCAGGGGGAAAAAAAAGAAGAAGAAGAAAGGGGTCAATGTTTCTCAGGGAGGATTGTGTATTATCAGGGATTGAATTAGGGACCTCACAAGGCAAGGCATATATGCCTTAATCCTTGAGCCATCTCCCCCATATCCCAGAACTGAATGTTTTGTTCCATATCACCAAAATAAACTCAGTGCAGAAAATCCAGAGCATGCATCAAACGATAAAGAAAATAAAAACAGCGTGAATATGACAGCTCCTACGTGTCCTTAATTTCACTTGAACAGTTCCCATTTTCATAAATATTGGGCAATAACTAAAAAATGACCACGTGATAGCATATTGCAGGGACATGCCATAGAAAATATATTTAGTCATTTGACTTTTGTTGGTCTTGTTTTCAAGTTTTGACTTGATCAACAAAGTTGCAGCCAAAATCCTGAGGCTTTACTTCTGTTAATAACTTTAGTTGAATGCTTAGAAATAGAAGCACTTAACCAAAGAACATTTCAACTTCCCTTCACTCACAAGACTAAGGAATTATTATTATTATTATTATTATTACTTAACCACTTGGCCTTTCGCTGGGTGTGAATGAGAAGACTCAACTTTCCACTTAGCCTATGTAAGATATCACTAATAAGAGTCTTGCAAGTTAAAGGAGAAAACTGTTTTAACATGCTTTTTTGGGTTGCTAATAAGGTTGAGCTTTTTAAAGAGATTTACTTGCCACTTATATATTTTTTGTGAGTTTTCTATTTATGTTCTTTTTGTATTATAGTACTCCGTGGTTTTATTATTAATTTTCTAGAGTTCTCTCTATATTAAGAATATTAGCACTTAGCTATATTTGTTTAAAAAGTTTTACCAGTCTTTCATTTACCTGTTTGGTTAGCATATGGTGTTTTTAAGATTTCATATGAATAAATTAAAATTTTTAGGCAGTAGACTTATGAACCTTTACCCTTGTGTTTTCTTTTACTGTGATTTTATATTTAGAAAGTGATTACCTTTCATTTTTTAAAAAAATTTTATTAGTGAAACACCATGAGGTACAGTTGTAGACTTAGAAATTTTTGTGCTTGGGTTTCAATTATATAATGATCAAATACCCATCCCTCCACCAGTGCCCATTTTCCACCACCGCGGGTCCCAGTATCCGTCCCACCCCCCCCCATCCCCCCACCCCACCCTGCCTCTTGGCAGGGTATTCCCCCTTGTTCTCACTCTCCTTTTGGGTGTTGTGGTTTGCAAAAGAGGCATTGAGTGGCAATCACGTTTGGTCTATTGTCTACTTTCAGCATGCTTCTCCAATCCTGGGAGGATCCTCCCAACACCCTTTATTTGGTGCTGCCTTTTCTATCTGAGCTCCCTTTTCCCCTGGCATGTGTGGCTGGCCTCCAAGCCATGGAGCAAAACTCCTGGTACTAATCTCAGCCACTCTTGGGTGTTAGTATCCTATTTTGTTACTTTATGTTCCCCAGATGAATGCAATCTTTCTATGTCTATCCCTCTCTTTCTGATTCATTTCGCTTAACATAATACTTTCCATGTAGTACCAAAAAGTGATTACCTTTCTTGATAGCTGAGACATACTTTTCTATTTTCTTATGGATGTTTAGCTTTATGTTTTTATGTTTACATCTGGACTTGAACTGATCTTGGGTGAAGCTGAAAGATACTGTATTTACCATCCATGATTTCAACAGCAGGCAGTGTATTTTTTAATCTCCTTCCCACCAATTTATAAAATAGCTTTTATCATACATTAAATTAAAAATACATACTATGCTTGCTTCTGGTTTTTCAAGTTTATGCCTCTGATCTAGCTATTGAACTCAGTTTTTTGCATATTTGAACAATGGTTTTCAACTTTTTACGCCTATGGGCTGGCACCAGCCCAGGGACTAACAGATGAAATGAAGGGATTTGAAAATGTTTTAGTATCTGGGAAAGTGAATGTTATCCCATCACTCTTCTTTTGCATTTTGAGAAAGTTCTGGGTTATTTTGATCATCAGTTCACACAAATGTATCTCATAAATCAGAATAATCTGTAACATAAAAAAGAGACCCTGTTAGCATATTAAGGGGGGTGGGAGAGCTTCAGAAATGACTCACCCGGCTGAGCACATGCTTGGCTGTAGGAGGCCAAACTAGGAAACCAATGGGCCGGGCCACTTAAGCATCTAAAAGTATGGGCTGATGGGAAGGAGGGTCTTTCCTTTTGTGGCTAAGGGAGGAGGGAGAAGAATGTTGAAATAAAACCAGCTGACATCAGGAGGAGGAGGGAAAGAGAGGAGCCGGTTCATCACCCCATATCCCTCCTACTGCCCTGGGTTGGGGTCCCTTTGGTGGAAGGCTCAAGGGCAGAAGTGAAGAAATCATTTTCATAAGCACTTCTGTGGGACCCTGGATGTGGGATCCAGGCTGTGATGCTTGTGAGCAGAATGCATGAGGGGGCTCTCTCTGTGTGAACCCAGGACACTGGGACACTTGTATTTTTGTGTTAGGCAACTTCATCAGCTGTTGGTAGGGGATCTCCGTGGGTTACTGGAGAAGACAAGAAAGCAGAAAGGACCCATGTTCTTTACTAGTCATGCCCAAATTGACATCCTCTGTTCACTGCTAAACTTTGAGCTCAGGATCTTTTACCATTGGCTGTTTGTTAATCCCTTCCTTACTATGTTTCTTCATATTCCATATATATGAAGAGATCATAAGATCACATTTGTTTTTTCCCTATGACCTCACTCAACCTGACACTCTCTAGTCCCATCCATGAAGCAGCAAACTCTATAATTATCTTTTTTACAGCCAAGTAATATTCCACATATATAAATATATATATATATATCACAGTTTCTTTACTCACTTTAATATCTTGGACACTTAAGTGATTTCCTATATTGGCTACTATGAAGAATGCTAAACATAGGAGTGTAAATGTCTTTTCAAAATAGTGTTTTGGTATCTTGGCGTAGATGCCAAGAATTAGAATTGTTGGGTTAAATGGAAGGTCCATTCCTACTTTTTTGGGAGCAGTCTCCACACTGTTTTTCACAGAGGCTGAACCAAATGACAGTGGATTTCCACAAACAGTGCATGAGGTGAATCTTGGGATCTTGAGTCTCACCCCCCACCCATAAGCTTTATACCCTGCAGAGTCTTCATCTCCATCAATGGCTCCAACTTGGCTCACCTTGACCCAAAGCCTCTTCACCTCATCCTCCATCACTAACCCATCAGCAATTCTGTTGACTCTTGCTGTCACATCCTTTGGGTAGCAGACCATGTCTCACTCCTTCTGCCTCTCCCTGCCTTAGCTCCACTGTCATTTCCCATCTGGACGCTGACAGCAGCCTCCCCTGGGTCTCTTGCATCCTCTCCTGCTGGGGGATGTTTTCAGACAGCTCACAGTTCTTGTACGTGATGTGCAGGAAACCCCACTTCTCAACAGAGCCAACTCCATCTTCTAACAGCCTGCAGATCTCACCATGTTCTGGTCCTTGCTACCCTCCCATCTCACCTCACATGTCAGCTTCTGGAACAGGGAAATCACTTTCACCCCTCCCTCCCCAATGCCAGAACATTCCACTAGGGCTCATCAGGGCTCCCAATTCCATATCAAAGGGTGGCCTTTACCTGGCCTCCCACTCATCTCAAACGAATAACTCCCCCAGGATCCCATTTCCTTCTCTTTACTACTTAAGGCATCCTCTTGCGTCACCTTCCCTGTTGTGAGTGGGTACAGCTCAGCTGGGGTTCTGTGTACTGAGCAGATAGTAGGACCAGCACCTTGAGACAAAGATGACTAAAAGATAAAGCTATGGATCCTATCAAGTTTTCAACCAGTATTGGTTTGCTCTGGCTGCTATAACAAGTAGCACAGACTGGTGGCTAAGACCACAGAACCTCACTTTCTTGGGAAACCTGTGCTCCTGGTGCATCAGGGTGAGGCAGAGCTCTGGAAGCCCAGGCTGAGGAGGGCCTCTGGCGGGGGAAGGGGCTCCAACAGGGAGGGAGTTGGAGGAACGCACTGGTGCTCCCTGGAGGAGGGAATGGCATGAGGGAGAGGACATCTGAGGCATGACAGAGACTGAGGTCAAAGGGCAAAGTGTGAGGGCAGGGGCTGAGAAAAGAGGGAGTGTGAAGCTTGACTCTGAGGAGTTGGGATTTCATCGTGCTGGCATCCAAATATTAAAAAAAAAACAACCCTCTGAGAGCGAGTCACAGAAGCACCTGGACTGCTATGAGTGAAGGAGGTTAGAGATGGCAGGGCGGAGAGCGATACCAGTGAAGTTAAGCACAGACGAGCAAGCTTAACTAACTCCAAATTAAACAGGGCAGGCTGAGAGACACTCCTTTCTCCAGCTTCCAACTTGATCCTTTAAGTAGATCTTAAGGGTTCTTGATTTTTTCATCTGGAAATTTCTCCCATTCAGTTTGACTTTCATTCTCCACCAAGGAATTAGATGGATGTCTCAGGTTTAACACATTGATGCCAGTGTGTGCCACCAGTGGCTCACACATGGACGTGGCCCCATGAACACAAACTGCAGCACGGGCGTCAAAATATTGACATGGCTCGTAATTGTTTCCCCGAATAACACCATTCTTTTCACTTCTCAAAAATTCCGTGTAGATAATGAGGCACAGAGAGGTTAAGGAGTCTGGTTAAGGTCACACAACTATGGAGTAGTGAGCAAAAGGCAAAGGTGGGCTACAGGGAGAGAGCACAGGGAGGCAGGTTTGCATATGCTAACCCTGGTTCCATCCCTGGCACCACAGAGTCCCCTCAGCACTGTTGACTGCAGTCTTGGACGTCTCTGAACACTGCTGGGTGTGATCCCGGCAACCCCCAACACCTCAGGGTCTGAACAGTACCTCACTCTGGGGCCCTTGTTTTGGACTGCCAGCCCAGGGAGCCCAGAATCCCTGTGAGGACCCCCGCTGGGTCTCCTGCTTGGGAGGCCCCTCCCCAACAAAGAAAGACCAGAAACCAA